ACCTTTGTGTTAGGAACGGGAAGTGTCTTGTGTGACTCACACGCCACACACACGGGAACTTTTCATTGTCAGAGCTTTTGGTGTCCAAGCAGTTTTCAAGTTATTCTTGATTCCGATTCATTCATTGCCACTCAGCACAGGCTGATGTGCACAGGTCACTTCTCCCCAGGGGGGTCTCTGGACCTTGCTCATTGCTCCTTGGCAGGACACTTTGGGTGCTTGTCTGTAAAACACCCTGTGGAGGCAACACATCTGTGTCCTGCAGAGCAGCTCAGGAACTCGGCGCCTTAAGAGCAAGGTCACTGAAGGAAACATTGCCCTTACGACCAGCACACGGCTCGCCAGGCCCAAGCTGAGCCAATCACCATCAATTGGGGTGAGGGGCAATAATTCTTGGTGGGGCCCACTCCAAGGCTATGTCTCGATTGCATCCCTTTTTCGTAAAAGGGATGCAAATTAGACATATTGCAATTGCTAATGAAGCAGGGATTTAAATCTCCCCTGCTTCATTAGCATAAAAATGGCTGCCACTTTTTTTCAGCTCAGAGCTTTGCCGGAAAAAATAAGGGATAAGGGATCTTAAAATAAGGAATAAGGGATCTTTCGGAAAAGGCTTTATTTTCCAAAAGATCCGCGGCTAGACTGGCGCTTTTTTCCGGCAAAGCTCCGAGCCGAAAAAAAGCGGCAGCCATTTTTATGCTAATGAAGCGGGGGGGATTTAAATCCCTGCTTCGTTAGCAATTGCGATACGTCTAATTTGCATCCCTTTTATGAAAAAGGGATGCAATCTAGACGTAGCCCAAGATTTTGGAAAGTGGCCAAGAGCCACACTTTGTTAGGTTGGGTGCAGAGTCTAGGTTGAGGGTTGGTTGCAGAAGGGCGCACGGGGTAAGGGACTGGGGTGCAGGAGACGATGTGGGGTCTAACAGGGAGTTTCGGGTGGTGACCTGGGTCAGGGAATTGAGAAGTAGGGTCCGGGAGGGGGCGTGGGTGCAGGGGAGGACTCTGGCCTGGGGAAAGGATGTAAGAGGGCATGCAGGATGTGGGAGGGAGCTGTGACCTGGGGCAGGGAGTACAGAGGGCTTGGGGGGTGACCTAGGGAACTGAGCTGGGATGCAGGAGGGGTTGGGGTGCCAAAGGCAGGCTCCGGATGGGAGGCACTTATTTAAGTAGCTCCCATCTAGCAGCCCTGCAGCATCCCCCAAGGCAGGCTGGGCTCCCTGCCTGCTGCAGGCCCAGAGCATTAAAATTGCTGGCTGCTCCCTCCATGTGGCTCTCAGCTCCAGGAATGGGAAGAGGCTTGTGCCCTCCATGTGGCTCTCAGGCCTGTGCTACCCCCCCCCCCAGGCCAATCTCTCAGTTCCTATTGGCCGGTTGTTTCCAGACAATAGGAGCTGAGGGTTGGGCTGGGGGTGGGGAGATCACACGAAGCCCCCCCTCCCTGCAGAACCCAGAGACCTGCCAAGTTCGAGAATTTTTGTGAAGGTAGCTGGCACCCCTGTCAGAGGCATATCCCTGAGAGGGATGGGGATGGGGTGAGGCTGGGGAAGAGGTGGGGCAAAGGACAGAGGGACATGGGCAGTTTAACACTGGGCCTCTGGCTCTCTGCTCCCTGGCCCATGCACAAGGGGCCATTGTAACCGGGATGTGACTTTGGCTTAGCCTGTGCCAGGCCTGGCCCCGGCCCCTATAGCCACTGACCAGCGGGTCACAAGTGGCCTCCCCACCATGCTTTGCCAGCACAGAGTGAATCTGGCCCATGAAGCCTACTGCCCCCTGCCTCAGTTTCCCCAGGGATAAACAGCTCCCAGCAAGAGCCAGGATCTCACATTCTCTGAACATCCCGTCAGCACCAAGGGACCAAAGTGCCGAAATGGGCTTTGATGCCAAAGGCTCTGCAGGACCTGGGCCTAGGAAACAACAAAAGGCGGGCAGTGCAGGAGGCCTGAGTGTGTCTGTCACACAACAACCTGGCTCTGGGCTCCCCGTGCAAACCTGAATCTCCCCTCTCCTCCCCCAGACACTCTGCCGGATGCACTGGAGGCAAAAAGTGGGGAACCCCTAAGAACGCACACACCAGGTGAGCTGCCTTCCTCAGAGCCAGGCCTGCCGGCCACTGCCGGGCACAGTGCGGTGCCCCAGGACAGAGAGGCACCGGGCAGGCTGCTTAGCATCACTGGCCAGGAGCCAGCCATGGAAGCGACTCAAAAACTGCCCCTCCTCCAGCTTCCCCCAGCCCAGGGGCCATGTCCTGCCCCCAAAATCCTCCTCCTCAGTCCTCCCAAAGCCCACAGCCCTAGTCCAGAGTCCAACCCCCCCTGCCAAGATCCTGTCATCTGCAGGGCTACCCCAGAAGTCTCAGACCCTCCTGCACCCCAAGTCCCTGCCTCAGCTTGTACATCCCCCTCCCCCCCCCGGTATACAAAACCCTCAGCCTCATCCCTTCCCGCCTGGACCCCTCATACACCTGAAACTCCACTCAGCCTTGGGCTCCCGTTGTTCTCTGCTTCAGGGGAGTTTCCCTTCCCCCAGTGACTGAGGGGCTGTGCCCAGCATGGACTCTGGGGCTCTCGGGGATGTTGCTCTTTCTCCTGCCCCCGGCAGAGGACCCAAGAGTCCATGGGCGGGTCCCTGCTCTGCCGGGGGAAGGGATGGATCAGACCCCAGAGCACCAGGGCACGGGGCACAGACAGGGGCAGTCTTGGGCCCATTGCAGGCAGCTGGGGAGCTGCTGAGAGCAGAGCTCTCGTCCTGTTCCCCTTTTCCTCTCCCCCCGTGTGAGCTCAGCTTCTCTCTGCATCCGCCCAGCCCCCGCTGGGACCCCCCTCAGCTCCCTGGGCCCCTCTTCCTTCTGTCACCCCTGAGTCAGCCTCCTGCCATGGCTGGGACAGAGACACCCCCGTTCCCTCCACACTGTGCCTGGGCACCCCCAGTGCAGGACTCGCCTTGTTCAGCCTCTTCCCGCCCAGCCCAGCTGGGGCCGGTCCCTGCCCCTCCCTGCTGGCTCTGCGGGGTCTGGGCGCTGGGCCAGAGGCTGAGTAGCCTGGTGGGGGGCAGATCAGAGCTCGGCCCAGAGCCCCAGTGTGGCGGCGGGGGAGACGTGTCACAGGGGAGTCACAAACCCTGCCCAGAGGCAGCTGGGACCCAGGGACATTTCATAGAATCATAGAATCATAGAGCTGGAAGCGACCTCAGAAGGTCATCAAATCCAGCCCCCTCCTCTAGGCAGGACTGATCCCAACTAAATCAACACGGCCAGGGCTTTGTCAAGCTGAGACTTAAACACCTCGGCTGCATCTAGACTGGCTTGATTTTCCGGAAATTTGCGGAAAAGAGCGTCTAGATTGGCACGGATGCTTTTCCGCAAAACCACTTTTTGCAGAAAAACATCCGTGCCAATCTAGATGTACTTTTCTGCCAAAAAGCCCCAATCGCCATTTTCGCGATCGGGGCTTTTTTGCGGAAAACAAATCTGAGCTGTCTACACCGGCCCTTTTGCACAAAAGGACTTTTGCCTGAACGGGAGCAGCATAGTATTTCCGCAAGAAGCACTGATTTCATTTTCGCGATCGGGGCTTTTTTGCGGAAAACAAATCTGAGCTGTCTACACTGGCCCTTTTGCCTGAACGGGGGCAGAATAGTATTTCCACAAGAAGCACTGATTTCTTACAGTAGGAAGTCAGTGCTTTTGCGGAAATTCAAGCGGCCAGTGTAGACAGCTGGGAAGTTTTTCTGGAAAAGCGGCTGATTTTCCGGAAAAACTGGCCAATCTAGACACAGCCAGGGTGATTAAAGTCCCCCACGAGAACCAGGGCCTGCAATCTGAAATCTTCTCTCAGTTCTCTGAAGAAAGCCTCATCTACCTCATCCACCTGATTCAGCGGTCTGTAGAAGACACCAACCACAATATCACTAAACATAACCCATAGACACGCAGGGTATGTCAACACTAGCCCCCTAGTTCAAATTAGGGAGGCTAATGTAGGCATTCAAAGTTGCAAATGAAACCTGGGATTTAAGTATCCTGGGCTTTATTTGCATCTTCCCGTCCGGGTGCCATTTTTAAATCGCCTTAGTCCGAACTAACTGCCCGCGGCTACACGCAGCAGTCAAACTTTAACTCAAACTAAGTCCTTAGTTCAAGTTAACTGTTACACCTATCACCATCCATCCCTGCTATCCTGGAGAAAGGATTTAAAAGGAAGGCAAGAGACCCTCACCCCATTCCCAACTCCCTCTCTAAACTCCCTGTTAACACTCACCTGTTTGCAAGCTCCTTGGTCGCTTGCTCACTGCTTTATAAAGCCCTGGACTGCCTGAAAGTCTCTCCCCCTACCAAGGCTCAGCCAATCAGCAGAGGCTTCTAGAATTCCAACTTTAATTAGAAGCCAACAGTTTCCTCCTGCCAGTCACAGCACACACTCCATGAAGGAGAGAGGGAGGGGAAAGGGGAAGTGAAAATAGAAAGACCTCACTCACAAACGGGGGAAAAATCACACACACACCAACCCTCACTCACAAACACAAGCTCAGCACACAGCAAGAACTCCCCAAGCACAACACACACTTCCCTCAAGAGTTCTTTATCTGTTTCTCCTTTACCTGGAGAACTCCCTCTTTAAACCCCCTGTTTCAATGGGGAGGGATCCAGCCAAGGGCAAGAGCCTGGATTCAGACAATCCTCAGTAGGCAGTTTCCATGACATACCCCTGGGGTCCCCAGCCCAGAGTCGCTTGTCCCCGGCCCAGGGAGAGGGGGCAGATTCCCAATGTCAGGGCCCCTCTGATCCCTTCTCTCTGCCACGGCCCCTCCCAGCCGATGAGTGAGCTGCCCCTTGGGCTGGGCCGAGACCTCAGGGCTGCTCCCCACTCAGAGCCGGGCACCCCTGGAGGAAGGAGAGTCCCTGAGTCACTGCCCAGGTGGGGCAGATTCTGTCCCTGACGCCATTGACCCCCCGAGGGCCAAGCTTTGCCCCTCATGCTCTGATTCTCTCCCCCCAGCCAACGTGACTCTGGATCCAGACACGGCGCATCCCCAGCTCGTCCTGTCGGAGGATGGGAAAAGTGTGAGATGGACAGACACACATCAGCCACGGCCTGACACCCCAGAGAGATTTGACACTATGCGCTGTGTGCTGGGCCGTGAGGGCTTCACCTCGGGGAGACATTGCTGGAAGGTGGAGGTGGGGGGTGGGCGATACTGGGCTGTGGGGGTGGCCAGAGAGTCTCTGAACAGGAAGGGATGGGTCAGCCTGAGTCCGAAGGGCGGGATCTGGGCTGTGGGGCGGTGCGGGGATCCGTTCCGGGCTCTCACTGACCCTGAGACCCCCCCCACTCTGAGCCCCCACCACAGGATCTATGTTTGTCTGGACTGTGACCGGGGGCAGGTGACATTTATCGATGCTGAGACCGAGGCCTCGATCTTCACTTTCCCACCAGGCTCCCTCCCTGGGGAGAGAATCCGACCCTGGCTCATGGTGGGGTGGGACACAAACACCAGGCTCCGACTGTCTCCTTGACACACCCTCCTCTAGCCTCACACACCCCAGTCTCTGTGACCCTGGAGGACTCACCTGTCCCCAGCCCTTGACTCCTCATCTCTATCTGACCCAGAGACCCCCCTCACTCTGAGCCCCCACCACAGGATCTATGTTTGTCTGGACTGTGACCGGGGGCAGGTGACATTTATCGATGCTGAGACCGAGGCCTCGATCTTCACTTTCCCACCAGGCTCCCTCCCTGGGGAGAGAATCCGACCCTGGCTCATGGTGGGGTGGGACACAAACACCAGGCTCCGACTGTCTCCTTGACACAACCTCCTCTAGCCTCACACACCCCAGTCTCTGTGACCCTGGAGGACTCACCTGTACCCAGCCCTTGACTCCTCATCTCTATGACCCCAGAAGCTCCTTCCCCTCCCTCACACATCCAGAGAAGGGAGGTGGAAGAAACCTACTGCAGCCCCAGGGAGCAGACAGGCCCTGAAGGGCAGAGGAGGGGGCTTTGGCAGGGGACAAAAGCAGGACTCAGATTCTCTGTGAACTCACGACTGGACTCAGGTATCCGGGACCCTGCGCTGCTACGTCTGTGTCAGTGCAGATACACTTGGGTGCAGCAGGGCGGGGGCTCTTTAAGGACATAGGAACATAAGAGTGAGAGAGGGGACGGGATAAAATCAGCACAAACAACGGGACCAAATCACAGACCCAGCCACTGCCCCACTCAAGGTGTCCCTGGGCACGTTCTTGGGGGAGGCTCTCTAGGCCCTGCCTGAGGGTCATAACCTGCTGCCCCATGAGCTGCCCCTTCAGAGTCCCACATGCTGAGACCCCCACCCGCGTCCCTCAGAGCTCCACACCAAGGTGATCTCTCTTTGCACACGTCCCACCCCGCAGGGCTCTGTCACTTCACCAGATAAAGCACAGAAGAGTTCAGATCAACGATCAACCCAACAATACTGCCCCTCACTAGTCCCTCCCCACCTGCCTTGGGGTGTCTTGGGGGCCCCCCCCCCCGCTCCTGAAGCTGCTGCCTGCTGGGAACTTTCTTTTCCGCTGTAGACCTAACGACAAGGAACATGCTCTAGACAGGGGCTGGGGTATTGCGACACTGAACGTTGGGGCCTGTAATTGTAGCTGCCCAGAAATTCCCTGGCACGACACTGTGAGCCCCCAAGGCTGAGTTACAGGGGGGATGTAAATACCTGGGAATGGGAAGAGCCAGCAGGGAGCTGCCCGAGCTAGCCACTGGGTGGCGCTCACCAGAGAAACTAAGAACATCAGAGCGGCCAGGCTGGGTCAGAGCAAAGGCCCATCTCACCCAGGCTATGTCTACACTGGCCGGTTCTTGTGCAAGAAATATGCAAATGAGGCTAAGCGTACCTAATGAGCCACCATTTTTGCGGAAGAGGCTTTTGCGCCAGAAGGAGCTGTCTACACTGCCCCTTCTTGCTCAGAAAACCCCCTCTTGCACAATGCCGTTACACTGCTTATTTTCAGGAAGAACGGCATTGTGCAAGATATGCAAATGAGGCTCGGCAATATTCCATGCTTAGCCTTATTTGCATATTTCTTGTGCAAGAACTGGCCAGTGTAAACATAGCCCTTGTGTGTTCCCTGAGGAATAAGCAGAGTATATTGTGCATGAAGATTCTTGTTAAGACACTGGGTTAATACTGACTGCCTCCAGCTCCTTAGTGCATTTTGTGTACAGTATGTACGGGACAGTAAAGCAGAGCTGGGGCTGGCATTCTGGTCTGGGGGTCCAAAGGGCTGAGTTCTAGCTCTGACCCAGTTATTTACTATATGATAAATTAAGTAACCTGCCTGGCTCAGCCCCTGTGTAACTAGTGTGTCGTGAACTGTGTGTGAATCATTCGCTTTAATTAAATGTTTCTATCTGGTCCTGTCCGGTTGTTCTCTGGTGTGTTCCCCCGTCTAGGAAATGGATTGTTGCCACAAAGGGGTGGGGCTTTGTTGTCTCTATTGCAGTATTTCTCAAACCGTGTTCTGCAGTGCCGCGAGGCAGTTGGAGCCTCCTGAAAAATAAGTGGTGGAACAGCATTATGCAAGGGGGGGTTGTGCAAGAAGAGGCAGTGTAGACAGGTCCTTCTGGTACAAAAGCCTCTTCCGCAAAGTGGTGGCTCATTAGGTATGCAAATGAGGCTCAGCAATATTCCACGCTTAACCTCATTTGCATATTTCTTGCACAATAACCGGCCAGTGTAAACATAGCCCCAGTGTCCTGTCTGCCCACGGTGGCCAATACCAGGTGCCCCAGAGTCATTAAACAGAACAGGAAACATCCAGTGATCCCTCCCCTCTCATCCATTCCCAGCCCCTGACACACAGAGGCCAGGGACCCCCTCCTGGCTCAGCCCCTGTGTAACTAGTGTGTCGTGAACTGTGTGTGAATCATTCGCTTTAATTAAATGTTTCTATCTGGTCCTGTCCGGTTGTTCTCTGGTGTGTTCCCCCGTCTAGGAAATGGATTGTTGCCACAAAGGGGTGGGGCTTTGTTGTCTCTATTGCAGTATTTCTCAAACCGTGTTCTGCAGTGCCGCGAGGCAGTTGGAGGTGTGCCACGGAGAACAACAGAATTCACAATGGTCTTTGGTGTTCCTCAAAAAAAATATTTTTGTTTGGTAATCATCGATGTTAAAAAGTTTAAGAAACACGGCTCTGTTGGGTATTTTTTGTGGGGCTGTTTGCCGTTCAGACTATACTACTGATCAAAAGCAGGACTCAGATTCTCTGTGAACTCACGACTGGACTCAGGTACCCGGGACCCTGCGCTGCTACGTCTGTGTCAGTGCAGATACACTTGGGTGCAGCAGGGCGGGGGCTCTTTAAGGACATAGGAACATAAGAGTGACCATATAGAGTCAGACCAAAGGTCCATCCAGCCCGGTGGCCTGTCTCCTGACAGTGGCCAATGGCAGGTGCTTCAGAGGGAATGAAGCAAACAGGTAATCTTCAAATGATCTATCCCAGTGTTTCTCAACCAGTGGTACGAGTACCCCTTCCATCCTGGCTAAGTATTGAAGGACCAAACCTCCATGAATTTATCCAGCTCTTTCTTGAACCCTATTAGGGTGCGACTCCTCAGCAGGGCTTAACTAAACATAAGTGAGCTACGTCAACTGCATATCTCATTTTGAAATAGAGTTCTCATCCTACAACTTCCCTTATTCCTCATACAGTGAGGGTTACAGGACTCAGAGTAAGAAGTCCTCCAGCTTGACAGTATTTTGAAACAATTTCAAAATAACTACCTGCTGTGTAGAAGTGGACTAAGTTATTCCAAAATAAAGTTGCAGTAAGGACTTACCCCTAAATTCCTGGTCTTCATAACATCCTCCGGCAAGGAATTCCACAGGTTGACTGTGTGCTGTGTCAAGAAAAACTTCCTTCTGTTTGTCTTAAACCTACTACCTATTGATTTAATTTGGTCAATCCTAGTTCTTAGGTTATGGGAACGAGTAAATAACTTTTCCTTATTCACTTTTTCCACACCTGTCATGATTTTATAGACCTCTAACATATCGCCCCTTCATCTCCTCTTTTCTAAGCTAGTGACTAAGGGGTTAACTACACCTAGCCAGGTGCAGTAACAAATAGGAATGTAGGTAGGAATTTCAACCTAGGACAAAGGAATGTTTGGTTTTTCCCCCATTTTGTCTCTGAGGGCACGTCTAGACTACATGGATCCATCGACGGAGCCATGTAGATTAGGTTTGTAAGCAGAGGGAAATGAAGCGGTGATTTAAATACTTGCCATTTCATTTAAATTTAAATGGCTGCTGCGCTGAGCCGATCAGCTGTTTGTCGGCTCAGCGCGGTAGTCTGGACGGGTCGACATCAAAGGATAGCCACAGGATAGCTGCCAGCCTGATCACCAAAAGCCACATGCGAACCCAGGAGCAGGTTTGCATGAAAATCAAGTTGGTCCAGTGAGACCCCCGACCCTGAGCCCTGAGCTTAGAATATAAGAACTTCAGAACGGCCGTATTGGGTGAGACCAAAGGTCCATCTAGCCCAGTAGCCTGTCTGCTGATAGCGGCCAACACCAGGTGCCCAGGAGGGGATGGACCGAAGACAATGACCAAACCATTTGTCTCATGCCATCCATTTCCACCCTTCCACAAACAGAGGCCAGGGACACCATTTCTATCCCCTGGCTAATAGTACTTCATGGACCCAACCTCCATTAATTTATCTAACTTCTCTTTAAACTCTGTTATAGTTCTAGCCTTCACAGCCTCCTGTGGCAAGGAGTTCCACAGGTTGACTATTTGCATTGTGAAGAAGAACTTTCACTTATAAATTTTAAACCTGCTGCCCATTAATTTCATTTGGTGTCCTTTAGTCCTGATATTATGGGAACTAATGAAGAACTTTTCTTTATTCACCCTCTCCACACCACTCATGATTTTATAGACCTCTATCATATCCCCCCTCAGTCTCCTCTTTTCTAAGCTGAAAAGTCCCCGTTTCTTTAGCCTCTCTTCATATGGGACCTGTTCCAAACCCCTGATCATTTTAGTTGCCCTTTTCTGAATCCTTTCCAAGGCCAAAATATCTTTTTTGAGGTGAGGAGATCACATCTGTACACAGTACTGAAGATATGGCGTACCATAGTTTTATACTTCCCCTCCTCCTTCTTTCCCTGGCTTCCCCCTTCCAGCTCCCTCTTCCCAGGTTTCCCCCTCCCCTTTCCCACCCTCTCTCTTCCCCTCTGCCACCTCCTTTCCCCAGTCTCCCCCGAGGTTAATCCCTCCCCTCCCAGTTTTGTTAAATAAAGAGAGTATCTATTTTTGAACACATGTCCTTTATTTTTTAC